TAATAGAAATGATGTAATTTGAAAATAAATTATTTATAAATACGTATGTCAAGTTATATTTTTATTACGACGCAAAATATATTTAAGAGTTTACGGCCACTGTGCCGGGCGAGACGTTGTTGAAACAAAAAAGTTATGCATTCCATCACGTACATAAACAGTATCGTAATTCGCCAAGTGCAAATCAGCAAATTCGTAAAAATTTTGTTTATTTTGAACAATCCGNGGGAAACGGCTTTATCACCAGACGATCTGTACAAACCTAGCAACACCAAGTTGATTCCCCTGGAACAAACTGGAGCCGCGCAATTCAGACAGTCCGCGTATTTTTTCAACAGACCACGTATACTTCAGAAATGTACGAGAGGAAGGGAGGGCTTTCTGCGTACCGCTTATTTAAGGCCCACTTGGGTGAAGACAGAAGATGCCACCTGCATTAATTTTAAAATCAAAATAAAAATTTATATTTTGTTTAAATATCGGATTTATGTTTTTAATTTAATAAAATGATTTAACAAAACGTTATTAAGTGAATATAATATATATACAGTATTTTAAAGTTATATTCTTTTTATAAAAATTATATTTATTTTTATCGGTTCGTTAAATTTCCTGCCAATAGATGGCACTGCGGATGAGGATATAAATCAATTGATTTACAGAAACCCAATAGTTATTTTGGAATACGATGTTCGATATTATCTAAGTTAGGTGTGTGTGGACGTAACTGCCGAGATGAATGATATTTTAAAGAGGAAAAAAAAAAGGCGACTGCAGGCGCGAACCCAGGTCTGCGTTTCTGCAACGCAAGCCTGATGGAGGAGCGTTTGAGAGAAAAAAACAAAGAAAAAGGCGAATGGTGGTTCGAATCTCAATCTGCACGCTGCAACGCAAGCCTGATGGCGGAGCGTTTGAGTAAAAAAAAAAAAAAAAAGGATACTAGTGGTGCAAGCCCAGACTGCACGCTGCAACGCAAGCATAAGGGCGTAGCGGAGCTGACCCGACCACCAGCGGCATCGGCTCAGCTGTGAATTTTTTCTTATATTTATATTTAAAGTTCACAATTTTGGTAGGAAATTTAACAAATCGTTATTAAAAGTGAATATCTACTGTATATAACCAGTTTCTGTCACGGTATGCCAAAACGGCCACTAGGAGCGCCCCTAGCTATTATTTACTAGAGCCCTCTATAAACAGAGTATGGTCAAAATATGATTGGATACTGCCGATCACGTGGATAAACCACGTGATCTGCATTATGAGAACAGCGAATGTCAATCAGCTATTTATTACGATAAATAACAGAATTGGAAACTTTATATACCAGGTAATTTCGATCTAAAATAGATTCGAAATACCGTATTAGGTATTCGGCCGAATACCGAATACCTAAAAACAGGAGTAAGAAATAATAAAAACACAGTAAATTAATCATTTTCGTATTTAGATTTAATGTTATCGGGTTAGTGTTATTTGTTTTTATTTATTTATAACTTATAACATGCACAAAATAAAAAAAATAATAATATTTTAGTCACATGTATTTACAATTTACAGGAGCGTGCCGTGACATTTGATGATAGGGAAGCTGTGTTTCTATAAGAAGCCGACATCCAGGGGCAATCAGTTAATTCTTTCTTTAAATGTATTTTTAATAGATTATTTATCTGACGTACTTAATAAACAAGTTCATTATAATTACCTCTGTTATTAGATCCAATATATTCCATATGCCCTCTAAATGCCAATTCTTGCTTTGATAAAAACATATAACATCTATTTATTTAGATATAATATATCTATTACC